TAATAAATATCTGTCTGGGGATGGGGAGACACCTCTTATCAACAAGGGTGCCTGAACGAAGCATATTTGTATACCTAACCCTTAGCTGTACCCCACAGTATCATAATAAAAAATATTGATTTAAAAAAACCACAATGTGATATCACCTCACACCTGTTAGATTGACTGCTATCAAAATGATGAAAGGTAACAAGTATTAGTAAAGACGTGGAGAAAAGGGAACACTTGCACACTGTTGGTATAAATGCAAATCAGTATCACTATTATTAAAAATAGTTTGGAAGATCCCCAAAAGGTTAAAACTAACTGTCATATGATCAGCAATTCCACTACTAGTTTATACCCAGAGGAAATGAAATCAGGACATAAAAGAGATATTTGCACTCTCGTTTATTTTAGTATAATCCACCATAGCCAAGATATGGAAACAACAGACTAGATGTCCATCAACAAATAAATGGATAATGAAAATGTGATACACACACACACACACACACACAATGAAATACTATTCAGTTTTAATAAGAAGGAAATCCTGTCATTTGTTATAACATGAATTAACCTGGAGCTACATCATGTTAAGTGAAATAAGCCAGGCACAGAACATAAATATTACATGATTTCTTTCATATATAGAATTCATAGAAGAGAGTAGAATCTTGATTATCAGCAGCTGGGAGAGGATGGGTGTTGAGGAGTTGGGGAGATGTTGGTCAAATGATACAAAATGTTAGTGAGATAGGAGGAGTAAGGTCAAGAGATTCGTTGCACAACACCATGACTATAGCTATAACTATGTATTGGCATTTTGAAAATTACTAAGAGAGTAGATTAAGTGTTCTCACCACAAAAGGATGAGGCAATTGATATGTTAATTAGCTAGATTTAGCTAATTCCATAATATACACTATTTCAAAATATTATGTTGTACATAATACATATGCAAAGTTCTTGGCAATTAAATTAAATTATTATTAAAGAGGTTTTATGATCAATAAAGTATAAAAACTAAAATACGAATTAAATTTTACATGAATGAATCAAAAAATTATTTTTACTTAAAAATTCCAAAAACTTAGTAAAGGAGAATTACTAATGTGGCACAGAGTTGTAAAACTGGGAAAATTTAATTTTAGAGAATTAGCTTATTCTTACCCTATCTACTAAAAAGAACCCTGACTTTGCCTGGTAGGTTCCCGGATCTTGGGGACTAAAAACAAATTGATTTGATTTACTTTGTAAAGGGCAGTGGATGATGAGCACAAAACAAACAAAGATATTCCAGAATGAGGAAGTCAATGAGAAAACAGAGAATAGCGTAGACTAGTTAGTTGGAAGACACATAATAATTTGGAGAACAGAGTGTTTTTAACATTCTTGCCATACGTATGAATGGGAGAATGAGTACATACAGAAGGAAACAAGATTTAGAATTTGAATTGCAGGCTTGAGAAAGAACAATAAAGTGCTTTTTAAAATTATTCAAATACTTGAGTCCTGATTTTCTCACTGTGACCTATGCCAAGTCAGGGCAACAAGTCAAGTTGATTTAATATGGTTTATATTTACTGCATGTTACTCTTTGGTCAAAAGAAAAAATTTTATTTAATTGGAGAAATTTCTTCACAGAAATAATTTTTCAAAATAATTTTGAAGCCAATTTGCTACAAACATAAGAAATTACTTATTTAAAAAACAACAGCCGGGCTCGGTGGCTCAGCCTATAATCCTGCCCCTTTGGGAGGCTGAGGTGAGTGGATTGCCTGAGCCCGCGGGTTCGAGACCCGCCTGGGCAGCGAGACCTCATCTCTACAATACATCAAAAAATCAGCCGAGCGTGGTAGCGCATGCCTGTAATTCCGGCTACTTGGAAGGCTGGGGTGGAAGGCTCGCCGGAGCCCAGCAGGTCGAGGCTGCGGTGGCCGGGAGCAGCCACTGCACTCCAGTCTGGGCGACAGAGTGAGACTCAGTATTATAATTTTATGGGACCACTGTCATATATTCAGCCGGTCATTGACCCAAAAGGTCATTATACAGTGTATGACTATATATATTAGTTTCTGGCATTATGTGTGTGTGTACACACTACATACAAATTTCATAATAATTATTTTAAAGCCATTTTAGAGTGTATCTTATTACTTTTTATAACATTATAGAAAGCATTCATATTGGGCTAATGTTCTCACAAAAAGGAAGAAAATAAAAAAAGATAATCCATTAACTTTGCATTGTGTTTCTTTCTTCATCTATTTGAGATTCAGAAGAGCAAGTTTTCTAGAGCCAGATATTAGCAGGAACCACTTAATAAACTATCTTATATCAGTGAGCTCAATTTAAGCACTAAAAAGTATCATCATCCAATAAATGCTTTAGGTGTTTCCTGCCTTATTCCCAACTGAAACACACACCACACACACACACATCCCCTACCTTTATGGAAGATCAAAAAACAAAATAAACAAAAGTTCTTTGGAAATGCAGTGTTTTTATAAGATAATTCAGTTCATACCATTAAATTGTGAGATGGAAATGATGAAATTCTGTCCATTGTTTTGAATTTTTGTCCTCTTCTCTACCATCAGAAATGCTTCTTAAATTGTAAGTAACATGTATTATGTTTTAAGAAATTATGTTTTATGAAACTATGTTCATTAAATTATGTTTTAAGAAATAGAATGGCTTTTAATTCAACTTCAACCACACTATTAACTTACCAGGTAAAACTCGCTCAAAATATAATGCCAATATCAAATAGAGAAGAGTATCAAAGGCCAAAATGAGGAAAGTGGCAATCATTATGTATGAATCTCCAGAGGGATCAGGAAAAATAATACCACTCAGGTCATTATCCATGTGTGCAATCTGAAATTACCAGGAACAAAGTAAAATGTTAGATGAACCTATAAAAACTATAGTTGTTTTTTAAAGAAAAATCCAGTGTTACTTAGAAAAATGTAATCCATACTTTAATATCTTTCTCTTCAAAAATGCACACTAAAGTTGTTATTAGTATTGTTGCTTTTCTACAAATAAAGTATTGCCATAAAAGTGAGAAATGCTATATAAGAAGTAAAACAATGACAGAAGAGAAGTTTAACTTAGTCATGGATTATCACAAGTATTTTAAGGAAGGAGATTTGGAGAAGTAGATAAGCAGTCAGATATAACGTATCCTGGGGAGAAAAATTCAAAGTAGGCAATGTAATTAGAGGTCATTTAAAGAAAACATAAAAATTCTAAATGTAAGATATTGTAGAAGCATTAAAATATTAACTAAATATTGAGAAATTGTAGAAAGTATTTTAATCCAAAAATAAAAAGGTAACTTGCATAGCATGACTTGGCACATATGAGGGCTATATAGATGTAATAACACAGTTAATCCTAACAATTTACTTCCATGAGAAGGCTCTACTGACATCCTAATTCTGCAGAAGAGAGGCAAAGAGATCAAGTGATTTGCCCCGTGTCACCCAGCTGGTAGGTAGCAGAGCTGAAACCCTGATCCATGCCAGCTGGCCTCACTCATTACCCGTAACCTCGGATATAAACTACCTCTTTAAGACATTTCTGATATTTCTGACTATCAGATATTTGAAATATCTACATTTTAGATATTTCTGAGGGGTCAGATAATGGGAAATTATCTTTCTTTAAAAAATTTGCTAGGAATTTACAAATGATCTGCCTGCTTTGTTTACTCATTTGATAAGAAATATTTTTGTTAATTAGTTTTCAACAGACTTTCTTAAAATGGAGGAATCGATCATTACATTTCATGAAGCACCAAACTCTTGAATAAAAACATATTTTGAAAATCTCATAAGTAAAATAATGAAATAACTGTCTTCTCACCTGGGCCATCCCAGCAGTTATGGCGAAAGGGCTAAGAAGACCTAGTACCCATTCCAAAGATAAAGGAAGTTGTCTGCGTAACACAGTGAATCCCAGACATCCCTAAAATACAGTGAAGAGAAATCCAGCAAAACCAGCAAGCATGGGTTTCTTTATTAACACGCTCATAAGGAAAGCCAGTGCTATCTGAAGGAAGAAAGAAGAATTCCAATTGGTCATATTTTTCCTTTGAGAATCATGAGTAGCAGTATTCATTAGTTTCTTAAATTGTCAAAAATGCTCTCAAAACATATAGAAAACAGGAATAGAAATTTAGTGACTATACTAATATCTCAAAAAACATTATTCGCTCATATATCTGTGACCTGAAACAGGATAAGAGATGATGTTTTAACCAACTCACCAAAGAAAAGCCATATAAGCTAAGAAGTGTGACTATCACCATGAAGCCAGTATGGATTATAACTGGAATCAACGTTATGACCAGAGCCATAAAAATGGACATGACCAAGATGAAGCCAGCATACATCAATCCCCAGGATAGCCTATGGTAGAAACCAGATGTTAATTCAACATGCCACACACATGTATATGTTTGGAGAGGTAATACGCCAAACAGTTAAGAGTACAAGCTCTGAAATAAAACATCTGGGTGAAACTTATTATAAAAGTGTGGCCATGTGACTATCAGCAAGTTAAACTGTGACTATCAGCAAGTTACTTATGTCCTTTCACCGTCATCTGTTACATGAGGTTAATTGTGGTAGCTACTTCACATGGTTGTTCTGAGATTAAATGAGATAATGCACATAAAGATGTTAGCTTAGCATGTGATACAGAAAGTAGCCATTATTATAATTATTTTACAAAAGACAAATTTAAAAATTAACATACTTAAATATAATTCTATTCTTTCAGACAAGTTACTATATAAAATGCCAATGGAAGAACACAGTAACAATCTCTCCTTTAAACTTTCTCATGCTAAAGCTTCCTAAGGAATACAATCCTTCTGAATGTTTAACTGAAATCTTTCCAGTTTAAGTAAATCTCATTTCATTTTTTTATCCTTGTAGAGCTATTGACATTAGCAACTCAATACGTTATTTTTTAAAAACCAAAATACCTTGGTGCTAATAAAAAATGTGAAACTAAAATAAAGCAAAAGGCATTGCAGGAATTATAATTACACAACTGTGACCCAGTACCAGAGTATCCAAAACATTGTTGCTTTTGAAAATCTATGGAAGTAGATGGGAAGATATGTTTTAAACAACCACCATGCAGTCCATCAAACATACCATGACCATACACAAAGATCAACTCTAAATGGATCAAAGACCTAAATGTAAAACCTCAAACTATCAGAACCTTAGCAAATGCAGGAGATACCCTTATGGAAATTGGAACTGGCAACCAGTTCCTGATGAAAACCCCAAGTGACCATGCCATAAGAGACAAGATAGATAAGTGGGACCTCATCAAACTCTCAAGCTTCTGAAAAGCCAAAGAAACCATCAAGAGAGTGAGGAGACAGCCCACAGACTGGGAAAAAATATTTGCCAACTGTATATCTGACAAAGGCCTAGCATCTAGGATCTACAAGGAACTCAAACGTTCAAAAAAACCCAGCTCCATTACAAAATGGGCAAAAGATATGAATAGACACTTCTCAGAAGAAGACATATGAGCAGCCAACAGATACATGAAAAAATGCTCAGCCTCACTAGTCATCAAAGAAATGCAAATTAAAACTACCCTAAGATACCACCTAACTCCAGTCAGGATTGCTATCATCAATAACTCAAAAAACAACAGATGCTGGAAAGGATGCGGCGAAAAGGGAACACGTCTACACTGCTGGTGGGAATATAAACTAGTACAGCCTCTGTGGAAAACAGTGTGGCGATTCCTCAAAGATCTAAAAATCGGTCTTCCGTAAGACCCTGCACTCGCCCTACTGGGAATATACCCAGAAGAACTCAAATCACTGTATAAAAAGGAAACCTGCACACATATTTTTACCACAGCATTGTTCACAGTAGCAAGAACATGGAACCAACCGTGCTGTCCATCAAAAGAGGACTGAATAAAAAAATGTGGTACACATACACGATGGAATATTATGCAGCCATCAAGAAGAACGAAATAATGAACTTCACAGCAACCTGAATGGACTTAGAGTCTATAATACTGAGTGATCTTCCACAGAATCAAAGAGCTGAGTATCACATGGTCTCACTCATAAATGGACCTTGAACAATTGTTGTAATACTATAAGAGAATGATGGGCAGTAGTGGAAATCTGCCTGGGGAAGGAGGGCACACTTCATTAACAAGGGCGCCTGCATAATGAACATTTGTATACCTAATCCTGAATTGTATCCCACATCTTTAAAATAAAAAAAATTACTTGGAAGGCTGAGGCAGAAGGATTGTCAGAGCCCAGCAGGTTGAGGCTGCGGTGGCCAGGAGTGGCCACTGCACTCCAGTCTGGGTGACAGAGTGAGACTCCAACTCAAAAAAAATAATAATAATAAATAAAAAATAAAATAAAATAAAATAAATTTAAAAAAAACCCCAACATACCATAAGAATTCTTATGGAAGAATGAAAACTTAAGTTCACATAAAAACCTGTACATGGATGTTCATAGCAGTTTTATTAGAAAGTGCTGAAAACTGTTTCTCCTCCAAAGGTAAAGAATTAAACTGAGATACATCTATACCATGGAATAGTACTCAGCAGTAAGAAAAAATAAGCTATTGTGTAGGTGGGCCTTATCTGTGCTAATTAGATTACAGCAACATTTGCGCCTTATCAGGTAGAAACTAGTAGAAGATACAATATATAAGTATGAGGGCTATAAAAATACATATATATTGCAGTTTTACCTAAATATCTGGAATCCTGATATTCCATGAGTGCCTGGCAATAAGGTTCTCATGGAAATTTAAAGAAGAAAATTGGCAAAGCTATATTTCCAGACATATCACGTTAATTTTATTATTTACAATCTCTTTGCCTTCTCTTTAAAAAGAGAAGGAAAGAGCATATTTAAAACACTCTCTTCAATAACTGATGCAACTAATAAAAAATTCTTTAGCCAACACAAAATCTGGTACCTTGCACAGTTTTATATCAGGAAGGAGGTAATCAGACATTTGGATTCAATGTTTGAGGTGATGGATATCACAAATACCCTAATTTGATCATTACACATTATATACATGTCACATGTACCCACAAAATAGGTACAACTAAGATTATCAATTAAAAATACAAAAAAAAAAAGGATCTGAATTTAATACTTCCAATAATGTTAAAAACAATATGGTGTGTCTATAGGCCCGTTTCACCAATGGCGTTTTCTAGGTCTCTTTTCCTTTTTAGCATTAATTTCATTTTATTGATATTTTTGAGTTATGTAGCACAGTGACTATTCTCTTGGGTCTGATTTCTGGGTTTTTTTTGCATATAAGCTATATGGTTTTAGGGGAAAACCTTAACTTTTCTTTTCTTTAGTTTTCTTACCTGTAAAATGAGGATAATAAGACTATGAGCTGTGAGAGATCCTTAGAACACAGTACATACCTAAACAGTGTTCACTATTATTTTTATAATTATTAGACTACAATACTTTGCTATTAATTACTGTAATATATTTCTATAGTTGTATACTATCTCAAAATCAAGGAGAAAGGGATAAAAAATAAATGGATGGATGGATAGATAGATAGGATAGAAATTTGGAAACTTACATAGATAGAGAGAGATGCATTTGACCATGCAGTAACAAGCACCCATCACTATTTGTGCTATGTAATTTAAACATATTGCTTCATTTAACCGTTTGATCAATTCCATCTAAAGAACATTTTATTAACTAACTACATAACTTGGCCTCAATAACACTGTAGTAAATTAGCTTATTGTCCAAAATGTTTTCTTCCTTTCTCTACTCCTCATTCTCATGAAAGGAGTAAAATTTCTCATATTGCTATCTGTGGGCTTGTCAGTTTGACTTGCTCTAACCTCATGGCGGGCAGAACATATTTCTCTTCCCCTTGTCTTTAATGTTGTCTACATGACTTCAACCAATGGGATTTTATCATATTGATATGAGCAAGAGCTTGAAATGTGCTTGTGCAGTGGGACTTGCCTTTGTGAGTTTCTGTGAGGGAGAACATGCCCAGCTAACCTACTGACTGAAGAAGAATGTGAGTCATGTGGAGCAAATCTGGCTCTCTGGAGTTAGCCTGCAACTTGGATCCAAGCCTGGCCAAGACCAGACTGGATCTGTCAAACTCTAACCATGCCACAGACAAACGAGAAAGAAAAATCATTGTTATTGAAGGTCACTGGGTTTTGGGTGGGTTTTATGCAGCATTTTCTGACAGTCACTAACTGATGCAAATACTATTTATTTTTCTTCAACTCAGGGAAACATAAGCATAATCTTTTTTTTTTTTTAATTTTTTATTGTAGAGACAAGGTCTCGCCAAGTTGCCCGAGCTGGTCTCGAACCCATGGGCTCAGGCAATCCACTTGCCTTGGCCTCCCAAAGCACTGGGATTACAGGCTGAGCCACCAAGCCCGGCTAGTATAATCTTTACTTATATTCTACTGCCAGCATCTTATACTCTAATGTTGGTATGCTAATTAAATTGGATACATGCAAGACAAACTCATGAGTGCATGCAATGATACATGGTAAAGTGACAATGAGCTTACCAGAATGCTGACTCTCGGAGACCCATTACTGTCATCAGTTTCTTGAATTTTTTCTGTTCCCTTGTAACATTTACCGATGCAAAGTATACAAAAGAAGAGAAACAGCCTACACAAGTGAAAATAAACCATTCATAGAAGACTCCTATTTTAGAAATGAAGGGTGGTATCTTCATATTTATTCCAATAACTGATGTCAGCTCCTTCATCACAGAATGATCGGTTGTGACCTAAATTGGGATGTCCACAAATTTATTATGTTAACTACAGAAAAAAATATATGAGAACACCATACACCTTTCCATCTCTTTTCAGTTTCAGTATTTCCATATCCTCACCATTTTGAAACGACATTTTGTAGTCATTGACATTCATTATAAGAGTCATTTGAGAAGTGGCTGAGGGTCCGCCATGCATACACACTGTGTTAAGTGACGGAGAAGCTGCAGCAGTTCAGACAGAAACACTCCTTTATATTTAGGTAGTGCAGTGGGAGAAGGAAGGAGAGATATTAAACATCCCCTTGCTCAATCAATGGTTGGGTTATAATCGAGCAATGGTGTTAACAGAGAAGTAGAGGAAAATCAGTGAATGTCTCCCTGCAGAAGTGACAGTTAACATTGAGAGAGAAAGGCTGTGATCTTTCCTAAACAAAGGTTGTGTTGGGAGGGTTGAGGACGGAGAAGAAAATTGAGCAGAGGGAACCGCGTATGCAAATTTAAAAGGGAGCATAGAACACTGGAGCACAGACAAGAGGTTCCTGCAGCAAAAAGTAAATAGGTTGAGTGCGGATGGGGCTGGGGAAAGAAACTACTCCCATAGTTCAGGCGAGAGAGAATATGTGGCCTCGTGCTGATGGCAGAGCTGAAGAAACGTACATACATTTGAGCTTAAGATTAAGAGGCTGGCTGAAAGATTGGATCTGACAGGTAATGCAGAGTAAATTATCTCTGATAATCTCTCCGTTTCTATTTCATCAACTAGGTGACTTTGGCATTCACTGAGATGGGAAATTCAAAAAGATTCAGTCATATTTAGAGGAAAACACCCACTTTCAGTTTTGAGCATACTAAGTTTGAATTGCTGGAGACATCAAAGCAGAGCCATCCAATACTCAGATACATGGCACTAGAGCAGAGGTCAGCGAACTATGGTCCCTAGACCAAATCTGGTCCACCATCTGTTTTTATACACAAAGTTTTATTGAATACAGACATACTTATTTGTTTAAGTGTTATCTATGACTGCTATCTGTTATCTATGACAATAATAGAGGTGAATAGGTATAATACAAACAGTTTGGCCCCCAGAGCCTGAGATATTTACTAAGTGGTCCTTGACAGAAAAAAATTCGCTGGTCTACAACTTGAAGTAGTTTTTAGAGTCATCAGCATACCAGTTATGGGAATGAATGAGACTGTCCAGAGAACACGCATAGGAGGAAAAGAGAGGCTTTGGACAGAAGCTTGTGGAACTACAGATATAAAGATGCAGGAAGGTAAAGTTGGCTAATCTGGCAAGAAGACCGAGAAGGAAGGCTAGAAAGGGAAACCAGGTCAATTCTATGTTATTTAGTTGAAAGATCAAGTCAGATGAAGAATGCACAAATATCAGTTGCTAATTGACATGGGGAATGTTATTGGCCTGAAAGGCCTTTTTGATAGTGTGGTGAGGCTAGAAATCATATTGAGTTGAATTAAAGGAAGATGACCCTTTTAAAAAGCTTAGCCACTAAGGGGAGACAGGCATGGTGGCTCATGTCTGTAATCCCAGCACTTTGGGAGGCAGAGGCGAGAGGATTGCTTGAGGCCAGGAGTTTGAGACCAGCCTGGGCAACATAGTGAGAGCTCGTCTCTACAAAAAAAAAAAAAAAATTAGCCAGGTGTGGTGGTGCATGCCTGTGGTCCCAGTTACTTGACAGGTTGAGACGGAAGAATTGCCTGAGCCCAGGAGGTGGAGGTTGCAGTGACACTAAGCTCCAGCCTGGGTGACAGAGTGAGACTGACTCAAATAAATAAATAAATAAAATTTTAAAAAAGCTTAGCCAAGCCGGGTTCGGTGGTTCAGCCTATAATCCTGCACCTTTGGGAGGCTGAGGTGAGTGGATTACCTGAGCCCGCAGATTCGAGACCTGCCTGGGCAGTGAGACCTCATCTCTGCAATAAACCAAAAAATCACCCGGGCGTGGTAGTGCATGCCTATAGTTCCGGCTCCTTGGAAGGCTGAGGCGGAAGGATCGCCGGAGCCCAGCAGGTCAAGGCTGCGGTGGCCGGGAGCGGCCATTTCATTCCAGTCTGGGCAACAGAGTGAGACTCCAACTCAAAAAAAAAAAAAGCTTAGCCATTAAGGGGAGGGAAATAGGGTAGTTGGTTAAGGAAAAATGTGGATGAGGGAAGGTCTTTATCATAAGTGAAGAAATTAATTTTAAATTCTAAAGGGAAGAATCTAATAGAAAGGGAGAGATTTTTGTTTGTTTGTTTGTTTGTTTGTTTGAGTTAGAGTCTCACTCCGTTGCCCAGACTGGAATGCAGTGGCCGCTCCCGGCCACCGCAGCCTCGACCCGCTGGGCTCCGGCGATCCTTCTGCCTCAGCCTTCCAAGGAGCTGGAACTACAGGCATGCGCTACCACGCCCGGCTAATTTTTGACTTATTGTAGAGATGAGGTCTCGCCAAGTTGCCCGGGTGGGTCTCAAACCTGCAGGCTCAGGCAATCCACTCACCTCAGCCTCCCAAGGCGTGGGATTACAGTCTAAGAATCTAATAGAAAGGGAGAGATTTAAGAAAAAGGAGACAGAAGGACAAATCCATAGTCCCAGTTTCCTGATAAGGTTGGGAGGGATAAGATCAAGCTTATGAATGAGGAGGGACATGGGGATAAGGAAGGAGATGAAAAAGCATGGGTGTAGGGTGTGGCTGGTCTACAGTTTTACAGGGTTTATGTTGGAAGGTGGAGGATGTTCCCAACTAGCAGTGTTTATTTTCTCTGATAATGAGAGGCGAAGTGTCATCTCCTAAAAGTATAGGGGCAAGGTGGAGGTTAAGATAGGGGCTGGAAAAGAGGAAAAAAACACAGAAGATTTGAAATAGATCTTTGAAGTGAGGCACTTACTTCTATAATTGCAGCATTAATTGCAGTTTGAAAAGCCACAAATCCATTTCGCCAATACGCTGTCAAGTGACAATACATTTCACCTTGCATATCCCAGCAGTGTTCTTTAAGGAAGAAGAAAAATATGTCCATTGTTACGTAATGGAGTCAATTGCTAGAATTAAAAATCTTAACTTTGGCTTTAAAACACAATACCTAAATGTCATCTTAGAGTCTACAATTACACAATTTAGGGTATGTTAAAGCACTTTGCAAAACTAGAAGGAAGAAGAACGTGAATTAACAGCTGTCAGAATAATGAGTCTCATATTGTCGTAAAGACTGATGATTAACCTCAGATGGAGAATGTTATACTGCTTCTTTACTTGGTTATACTAATGCTTCTATCAGTCATTCTGAACAGGGGATTCGATGAAGTGGCCAAAAAAGATTGCAACAAATTTTTATATAGTCACCTGAGTAATCTGAGTGTTCCTTTATATTTGGGATTCTATGTCCCCAATTAAACTTTAGCCGGTATGAAAAAGTATCACTAAACACAATTCCCACCAGTTCAATGTACTTTTTTGCAAGTACTGCATCCATGGTTTCTTCATCAGGTGTCCCAATAATTGTTCTTCCTATCATGTACAAAAATTATAAACAATCATGTAAAAACTTATTATTGGAAGATGCAAAACCAAAGTACAATTGTTTAAGTTTTCTATAAAATTAGTGCTGTTACATATCATCCCTGAGTAGTACCTTTTTTTATCATTTTAAGTCAAATACCTGAAAAGATGCGAATGATATATGTTCAAAAAATAATTTGCAGCACATTATTTTTAGTAATTCTCATTTTGGTAAAGACAAACTGTCCCTATATATAGAAACATGATGTCTAAATACAAGCATGTACATCTTTTCTGTAAAAGAGACACAAAACTTAAAAGAGAAACAGAGGAGAAGAGAAAGTGGTGACAAACATGAAAGGAAAACTCTTTTTCTGTTTCAAACAGATTTATATTGCTTAATTTTGTTTAGAGTGGATGTTACTTTGGTTACTAAAGTAATTTAAAAATTAAAAGAAAAATATTCAAAATAAACAATAAAAATGCTTGAAAATTTGGCGTTTTCCTTTTTTCTGCCAAGTTTATAACTGATTTCTATCACATGAAAATAGTATATTAGTAGAAGTATGCAAAGAATCAGAAGCACAGAAACCAGAAGTAAAGCTATAGTCTACCTACAGATCATTTGGGGTCAATAAAACTCTCTGAGAATTAAGCTCATAAGAATCAGTGCATAATGAATGAGTTTGCAATCTGTAGAAGCAATCCACCCAATAGGTGGTTAACAAATCTATTATTAATGTAAGCTCTGGAAATCACTGAAGTTCAACTTATGGACTCCTTTGTTCATAATTCTGTGTATTACGTTCTAACAATTTCATAAATCTTAAACCTCACTCAGGACAAAGTATACATTAAGATGAAAAAATTATTCATTTTGTGGTATAGCCATGCCTTTCAAAACTACTCATCCTTCCAAAAACAAGGCTGTGAAACTTTTTTGAGGACAATGCTAACTTCACTGATTTCCTCTAGAGTTAAATAAATACTGTCAAAGCTAAAACATCAGTATTTGTGCTAAAAAGCAAGTGTTAGATAAACGTAGAACAAAAAAGTGAATGAGGGCTCTGGGTGGAACATGCCAGCATGGTAGCTGGATTGGTATACTTCATATAAGAAAGGGACAGAGCCCAAAGAGCCGTGAGACGCTATGGGCAAAAGCAGTCAATAGCATGAACTGTGCATGCAGGAAGGCTAGTCCCTGAGGCCTCTGTAAACGCTTAAGCTAAAAAGAGATGAGGTAAATAACCACTTGAAGGAAGCAGGGAGAGATCAGGGTAATATCAACACTGGTCTGGCAGAACTTGAACTTGTCAACAATGTGGTAAGAGAGGCAGGCTGAAGTCAAAGCTCTGGAAGCCGCAATGAAGAATTACAAAACAGGGAAAAGCGCACAGAGAAAAATATCCATTCCAAAGTGTGGAGAGGCTGAGCACAGAGTATTAAGAACAAAAGATAAAATAATGAGAATTCAGACCTTGGAGCTGTCCCTGGGAATGACAATCCAGACACTAAGAAACTAAATACAAGTTTCATAAAGACAGGATTAGGCAGCGATTAGAACTGAGATGTTAAGAGACTGGGTAGAATGTACAGAGGGATGAAAATGGCCAATGTTCAGAACCCTGAATAATGCGGGGTAATAACAAGAGAAATCTGATGGTAGGCTAAGATTACTGAAGCAAAAAATAATTGTCCTGAAATCTGCTTATGCAAAGTCAAAGGCATTTAAGGAACAGGCCAGAGACCCCAACTGACTCCTACTAGATACTCCTAATGGTCGTAGATTGGATAGGAAGGATGGCAGAGATCTCATACAATACCTATGACTATTAGGTGCTTTCACTTCTTTTAAAGATGCGTAATCGAGTGAATGCAGGAGCCTGCATAACACAGAGATCTATATTTTCTGAGTCTAGATATGCAGAGAAAGATTTAGAGAAAAAAAAACTTACTACTCTATGATCAAGGGCCCTGAATTTGTTAACTTTGAGCAGCCAATACCTGCTTTGATGTTAAATAGACTTTATGTGTCTTGAGCTATACATTTTAAATATTTTAAAAGATGGAACAGTAATGCTTTTTCAATGCTACTGTTAAGCTTGAGTTATAATTTCAGACATCTTTGATGTACATTTCCTATTTATCATTTAAATAGAAAATAATTAAATTCTGTAAAAATTCTGAAACTCTTCATTATAGAATGCTCAACTGAATAGAATTTTTAAAAAGTTAAGTTTGGAGAAAAAAGTGAAATTGACTTTATATCACCTAAAATGGAGCCCAAGCCTTCTTTCTCTGCTCCAACTTTCTGGACTAAAGGGTAAAGTGTGTGTGTGGTGCTTATAAAGCCCCCAAGTGAAACTATTTCACATTTCACCTACTTACATTTGGTCTCACACCACCCTCTGGACCGCATACATAATGGGAGTACTTGCCTCAGTTGAATACCACTGACCCACAGGCTGTGTATGAAATTCAACTTGCAAAACAGACTTCAAGTCACATAATACTGAAGCATTCACGATTGGACAACACACCTTTCATAAAGGAAGACAAGGCCATCTTATTCATTATCCTCTGTGTTACGTTGGTGATTGGTGTATATGCCACCACTAGCCTAGAGTCATTAAACTGAGCCACACTTCCCAGGACATGAGGAGGTTGTTCAGGAAAACGAGTAACTCTGAAGACTTCCGAAAAGATGCACAAATACAGCCCTGGAAGCAAGGCTATTGTCCATTCCTCCAGCACACAAAAGAAAAATGAGACAAGTTGCAAGTGGTTCAGAACAATGAGAAACATCAAAACACATTTTAAGACAGAATATACTGCCATTGCTAATGACTTCATTTCCGCCTCTGATTTTTTTCCTTCCCAATTAATATCTATCCTTTAAGAAAAGAATACCTTTTCAAGAATACGCAGCTGTGAGATAATATTTTAAAAAGTCAGTCAGTATCAGCCCAGGGATTTAGCATTTCTAATAGTGAAACCGCCATTCACTCTATGCTCTCATATGAAACGACTGGGGTACACATCATCACATAAAAGACGTTCTTACCCAAAAGACTTAATATGAATTCAATTGTGCTTTTGGATCCCACCCTCTGGTGATAAAAGGATGGGTTAAATGACAGCATGGAGAAGTCACCAGACAAAAAGAGAACATGACATATTCAACTAGCTTTGTCTCATTGGTTCTTGGTTTGAACAAACCAACATTTGGGGGGAAATTTAGGAAACTGAATCTGGCCATGAAACTAGATGGTCATATGGAATTACTGCTAATCTTTTGAAGTAGGATAGTGATTCTATAAGGGACTATGTTAATTTATTGAAATGCTAGATAAAATATACGGCAGTGAAGTGCTATATGTCTTCTGGGGGAGGGGGTGAGACAGTGGGTGCAAAGTTGGCATGATGTTAACAGCAGTCAAATTTGAATTGTGGATGTATGTGTTTGCTGTATCAATATTTTTACACTTCTGGATTGAAATACACCTTAATAACTTTCAAAAATTATAGTGAATGACATAGATGTCTCTGTTTTTAATATAAGAACTAAAATATTGGTCTGAGCCGCTTCAGAAGACACTGCAGAGATTTAAAAGGATGATGTGAATCCAGCTCCCACTGAAATAATACTGGCTATTTCTGAACAGACTGCAGCCTCTACATGGTCAGGGCAGGCTTGGATGTATCTCACAAAAACACATAGCCAATCTCTGCCTTAATGTCCATGTCATATACTAGAAACTCAACAGAATACAAAGATACTGACGATCGGTGATTGTATTCACTTAAACCGCTCTGTTTACAAAAAGCATAGCCTTGAAAAGACAGTCCATGGATAAAAAAAAGTGGTCCATAACCACGATGGGATGTTATGCAGACATAAAGAAGAACAAAATCATGAACTTCGCAGCAACCTGGATGGACTTGGAGTCTCTAATGCTGAGCGATCCGTCACAGAAACAAAAAACTGAGTATCACATGTTCTCACTCATAAGCGGACCTTGAACAATTATCGTAATACTATAAGAGAATGATTGGCAGCAGTGGGAAGCTGCTGGGAGGAGGTCAGGGAAGTGGGATCGGCAGGAGTGGGAATCTGCCTGGGGAAGGGGGCGGCACAGCTCATCAACAAGGGACCTGCAAAATGAACACTTGTACAGCTAACCCTGAATCGTACCCCGCATCTTTAAAATAAAAAAATTAAAAGGAAAATTAATTAACTTTAGAAAAGAAAAGAGAGTCCATGGATTAAAAAAAAATGTGGTACATATACACGATGGAATATCACGCAGCCATAAAGAAGAACAAAATCATGAACTTCACAGCCACCTGGATGGACTTGGAGTCTATCACACTGAGTGATCTTTCACAGAATCAAAGAGCTGAGTATCACATGTTCTCACTCATAAGCGGACCTTGAACAATTATCGTAATACTATAAGAAACGGATTGGCAGCAGTGGGAAACTGCCGGGAGGAGGGCGGGAAAGCGGCATTGGCAGTAAGGGGAATTGGCCTGGGAAGGGGGGGCACACCTCATCAACAAGGGGACCTGCATAATGAACATTTGTATACCTAACCCTGAATTGTACCTCACATCTTTAAAATAAAAGATTTAAAAGTTAAAAATTAGAAAAGAGCTGGGCTCGGTGGCTCAACCTGTAATCCCAGGTTTTGGGAGGCTGAGGTGAGTGGATTGCCTGAGCCCACGGGTTCGAGACCCGCCTGGGCAGTGAGACCTCATCTCTACAATAAGTCAAAAAATCAGCCGGGCGTGGCAGCGCGTGCCTGTAATTCCGGCTCCTCGGAAGGCTGAGGCGGAAGGATCGCCGGGGCCCAGCAGGTCGAGGCTGCGGTGGCCGGGAGCGGCCACTGCACTCTGGTCTGGGCGACACAGTGAGACTCCAACTCAAAAAAAAGAAAAGAGAGTCCAAGCAAGTTCCCTCATTTTTACTCATATTTTCCCCAGTCTCACCAATTAACATAATCTTAATCAAAATGTTCCCAATATATTTTGCTCATTTAAAAATCTATTTTATTTTGCCTAGCTTATCTTTTCTTCCTCCTAACACTGAAGTTAGTTATGAGTAAGCCAGAATGACTCTGAAACTCAAATGGATTAATTACTGGTAGACTGGCTATTTCTATTCTAAAAAATGGTACTTTACTTTTCAGGAGCTGTCATATGAGTTCCTTCGTTGATTTCACCTTTTACCATAAGCATCCTATTTTGCAAAATATATTATCCTACAATTTTTAGAGTCTCAAATCAACTGGCCAGTATGGCAATTAAAATTAGAATTTGTGAACAGAAATCAATAAAGATATCATAATACTATATAATGAATTTTCATGAACTAAATATGGAAAAATATATACCGTGAACCATACCAAGAAGCTTGCTCCTTTCATTCTCCATTTTATGAGAAAATTCTTGTGCAGAAGGGCCTGAATTTGTTGACACACATTTATCTCTTTTTTAACCATGTTGCCCTGTTCATTGAGAGAGTAAATATTGTAGAGCGGTAACTAGGAGGAAAAAGACAAAAAAATAAAGTCCAGTTCTAAAAAGTCTTTGAACACGTTGAAAGCATAGTTTTCAGATGTACCCATCAAATTTCTTATACAGCATGGGAGTAACCGATTCAATCAGGATTATTTGAAAGAATATAAAGTATTAGTGAACGTGAAATGTCCTCGCAGCTGGTATTTCTCTCCAGGCTTTGATGCTCTGAGGGAGATGAAGGTAATGGTATAAGAGGCCTTGCCATCCTTCTCAGAAGTCACTTGTTTCCATCAGATCCTAACCACCTAGAGTAAATCCATGAATGAGATCTTAGCTGATGTTTAGAATCCATAAGACAGTTTTCCCTTTACTTGTTTAAAAAAAAATTAACAGGAATGAAACACTTTGCAGTTCCTTGTTAGTCAGTGACGTGCCCTCAAGCAGTCTCCATACCTTGAGTGGTTCACTTTGGCACGTTTATTTGATGCCTAAGGCACCGCGGGCTACAGCAAAGTTGAATAGCAGTATAGTCATTCTTAGAATCCAAAAGAGCCAACTTCTCTTCTTTAAATATGTGAGTTCTTATTTATGAAGTATGTAAGAGACACACAGATGAAAACCCAAACCATTAGCTATTATGACGAGAGTAACGGGCTTATAATAGTGATCGTTCTTCTTGGTTTCCAGTTTGAAATTCCAGAAATGCTCGTTTCGTATTACGACCACAGTCACTCAAATCCATTTGAATAAATGTTGATGTGATACACAGATGACAGTGTTCCGAGAACTTGCTGCATTTCCTTTTTTTTGATCAAGTAAGAGGTAAAGTCAGCAAATGCCAAAATCGTCTCTAAATTCTAACTTGGGAAAGTAGAAAAGTTCAAACGGCAATCTTCGCTTTATGAATACAGAGGTCGGCTTGAACAGCTCCATGAGCAGACCACACAGGCACTTCAGAGAAAACACACACACTCACACACACACGGAGTCTGGTCTTACGCTTACACAAGCCAAAGAAATAACACTTGGAACTTCTCGAAAGAATATTCGGAGAGGTGTCCACCTGGCAAATAAACTAATCGTATTTCTATATATTTCTGAGGGGACCCATCTTTCATTTTGTCGCACTAGAATACGAAACAGAATTTAAAACCTAAATCACTCACTAGAACATAAAATAACATAGACATGTCAGACGAACAAAATGATTTCAACAGGGTCAATCAACAGGTCAGGCGTCGGCTGAAGGCTTTGTCCTTCGGGTCCACGCAAAGTGAGACTGAGGAGCTGGACTTACGGCCGAGCAAACGGGAGAGACGAAGCTGGCGGAGCCTGGGTCGCTTCTCGTCCAGCAGGCCGGCTGGGAAGGCTCACGGACCGCCAGAGCCGGTCTCGCTTAGCCGGGCTCCCGAAACCGTCGTGGTGCGCGCGAGGGACGCGGCCGGCACATTCCGCCGGCGGCTGTGGCTGTTTCCCCCGGCCTTCCGGGCCCAGTGACGCTTCCGGGGGGGAGGGGCCCCGGCGGGGTGTGCCGCGTAGCGCGCGTTGCTGGCGCCGTCTTTCCGGCGCGTCGCCGCCCCGAGGTCGGCCTCGCACGGAAGAAGAGCCCCCCCGGACGAGGGCGCA